ATGTTAAAAAAAAAAACAAAAAAACAAAACTGGTCCCTGGCCAAATAGGCAAGTTTGTTTTCAATGCTTCTCTGTGCAGCCCAACCTCCTCCTCTCCCTTCCTCTAGCAACGTCCCTGTTTAGCCTACTCTTGCTCAGGAATCTGGCACTCCATGGCTTCAGGGATATTGTGGGGCTCGAAATCTAAATCGCATGGAATAGAAAACCACTTTTTGTCTAGCAAACCATCCTAAGGCTTAGTAGTACTCAAGGATCTCTAGTACTTACAAGGGTGAGGCTTCATCTCACATACTTTAGATCTGTTATTAGAAAGGACTAGTTTCAGGGAAAGGACCATCATGCTTGGAAGAGTAGAGAGTCAGCAGAGGAGATGGTAACCCTCAATGTGATGGACCAGCACAGTGACTGCAACGGGCTTGCACGCAGCAGAAATCGTGAGCATAGCTCAGGATTGCTTTGAATCAGAATTAATTCAGTGGTACCTAACATCAGTGTCTGTGGTTGAGTGGACCCATCTGGGCAGCTCTTCTGCTCTATGTGATTTTGGCTGGGGCTGCAGCCTCCAGGGGTTGAAATGCCAAAGGTGGCACCTCACATATCTGGCTGTAGATGAGGATGGTGGGAAGGTGAGGTTCAGCAGGTAGGCTAAACTGGACTGAACTGCTTTGATGGATTGGTTTGACTCAAGTCTTAAAGAAGACACTGAATATATTTTACATAAACTGTACATACAGAACCTCAAAGAAATAGGTCAGGGTAAGGATCAATGAAAATCAAAATATCAATGTGCTTTTAGAGCATTGCTTTCAAATTAGGGCCCTGTAAGTTTTCTTCCTCATACTTTCCCAGTCTCCTTCTTTATCTTGGACATAGTTTGATACTTATTTTCTCATCAATCATCGTCTGCCACTTTGCCCCTGCACGCCTGCCCCAAGCTCATCAATCCAGAATATTTACAAAGTCAACATAAAAAACAGCTAATAGTTTGATACTTATTTTCTCATCAGTCATCCTCTGCCACTCTGTCCCTGCACCCCAACCCCAAGCTCACAAATCCAAAATATTTACAAAGTCAACATAAAACAGCTATCTTGGTGGACTTGTTATGTGCCATTGAGTCGCTTGCGACTCATAGCGACCCTATGTACAACAGCCCTAAACCCTGCTCTATCCTGTGCCAATCGCATTGCCTCTGACACACCCATCCCGATTACCCCAGTCACTGAATCAATCCACCTCATAGAGGGTCTTCCCCTCCTGCGTTGTCCCTCTACTCTACCCAGCATGATGTCCCTCTCCAAAGACCTATCTCTCCTTAGAACATGTCCAAAGTATGTCAGATGAAGCCCCAGAATCCTTGCCTCCAAGGAGTAGCCTGGTTTAACCCTCTTAGGAGTCTAATTATGGAGTATAAGACATTTAGATGCAATATAACACCACATGGTTAAAAATCAGGAAAGCAGTGCATCAGAGATGCCTCCTGCTTGCATAACTTTCAATCTATGTGCAAAACAGATCATTCAGAAGGCTAGTCTTTATGAGGAGCAATGTGGCATCAGGATTGGAGGCTGACTCATAAGCAATCTGTGTTATTCAGAGGATACAACCCTGCTTGCTGAAACTGAGGAGGACCTGAAGCATTTGCTGCATTAAGTCAAGGAGTGTAGTCTTCAATATGATTGAAGCTCAACGTCAAGAAGACAATGATTCTCACCACTGGACCAACTGGCAGCACCATGATAGATAGAGGGGAAAATTGAGGTTGTTAAACATTTTAGCTTGCTTCACTCCACAATCAACACTCTTGACACCAGAAGTTAGGAAGTCAAAAGGCAAGTTGCATTAGGAAAATCTACAGTCAGGGACTTCTCCAAAGTATTAAAGAGTAACAGTGTCAGTTTCGAGACTAAGGTGTGCCTGATCTAGGTCATGGTCTTCACAATTACTTGCTGTGTGTCAGAGAGCTGGACAATCACTAAGGATGGCAGAAGAATAATTGATTCTTTGATTAATGGTACTGGAGAATAGAATTTAACATACCATAGATCACCAAAAGAATAAACAAGTCTGTCTGGGAGAAGGTGAAACCAAACTACTCCTTGGAGGCTAGGATTTTTAATCTCCATTTCACATACTTTGGGCATGTGGCCAAGAGGGACCAGTCCTTGGAGAAGGACATTATGCTTGGAAGAGTGGAGGGGTAGTGCAGGAGAGGAAATGGATTGATACAGTGGATGGGGTAATGGAGATAGGTGTGTTGGAGACAGACTGGTTTAGGATAGGACAAGGTTCAGAGCTATTTTACATAGGGTCACTGTGAGTCTGAGCTGACTCTATGGCACATAACAACAGCATATCCTTCAGATGGCTCAAAGTAAGAAAAACAATGTAACTTGTCACATTAACAAACAACAGAGTAACAAGGAAACCCACAGACTGGGAAAAATATTTAACAATACTATATCTGATAAAGGATTTATAACTAAAATTTATAGAATACCCCAGCACCTTAACAAGGAAAAGGTAAATAATGCAATCATAAAATGGGCACAGGATATGAATAGACACTTCACCAAAGAAGAAATTCAGATGGCAAACACATGAAGAAACATTTAAAATCCCTAGCCATCAATGAGATGAAAATCAAAATAACAATAAGATATCATCTCACCCCAGCAACAATAGCAAAATTCAACAGAGCAACAAATTACAAATGATGGTGAGAGTATGGAGAGATTGGAACTCTTATTCACTACTGGTGGGAATATAAAATGGTACAACCACTATGGAAGGTGGTCTGACACTTTCTCAAAAAGTTAGAAATACCATTTGACCCAGCAAATCCACTACTGAGAATATACCCTAAAGAAATGAGAGCTACAACTTTAACAGATGTGTATGCACACTTATGTTTATTGCTGCTTTATTCATAATAGCAAAGAGATGGAAGCAACCCAAGTGATCATCAACAAATGAGTGGATAGAAAAACATTCACACAATGAAGTATTATGTAACATTGAAAAGCAATGACCTCATAAAATGTTACACAACATGGGTGAGCCCAGAAGACATTATGCTGTGTGAAATACCTCACAAAAGGACAAATAATGAATAGCACCACTGTTACAAAATTGGACTGAAATGGGGAGGAAGAATAGAAAAAGAATGGATAAATGAACACTGCATTGGAACAGATGAGGGGAAGAACTGTCTCAAAGGAATATATGATTAGGTATTACACATATAACAGCAACTTGAACAAGAGGTGCATTGCAAAGTGGATGGGAGGAGCAGAAGGAGAGGAGGAGGGATGAAAAAATATGCAACAGTGAATGAATGAAAACCCAATATTTCTGTAAACTTTGCTTAAAATCACAATTAAGAAAATAGAAATATCCTTGACATGCAGACTATGAATGGCAAGTATAGTAGCCAGGTTAAAAGTGGATAATCTTTTGGTAAAGACTGGAGGACATGAACGGTTCTATCTGAAAGATGGAATTCTGCCTTGTTCAGGGTTAGAGGAGAGCTACTCAAAGAGAATTGCCCAAGAGTGAGAAGATAAAAGAAAGTGTGTGGTAAGTGGGACAATGGACTCATGGAGAGATGAGACAATCACAGGATATATAAGAGCTTCAA